AGAAAAATATGGAAATTGTAAAGTATAAAAATGTCATTTTGATGTCATTTTGAAAAAAAATGGCAATTGTAACATCCAAATAGCATTTGTTCGAGTCATTAGAATCACAGAGCAATTAAAAACCTAAATCACAGATGCAGATAGATGGAAAAGAAGAGAGAAGAAGACTCTTGAGCTGAGCTTGATACCAGATTCAGACGAAGAAACAGAGGAAGAGGCAGACCTAACGCAAGCTGCCGCTCTCGCCGTCGCACGCCGTCGCCTCTCGCCGGGGCTTGCTGCCGTTGCTCGCCACTACTCGCGATTGAAACCTAGCCCTCTGTTTCACATAAAGATGGGGCTGTGAGAATAATGGAATGGCTTACCCAATTGGGAGCCCTAGATGTCATATTTATAATGAATAGTGTTCTGAGTACATTAGAAAACATAAGAAATATGGAAACCTAATTAATGAATATTAATTACTCTATTACACCCCCTCAATCTGTGCAGGGGAAACAACGCGCAGATTGTCTCTAAGAAAAATGAAGCGCTGCGGAGATAAACTTTTGGTAAAAATGTCTGCAAGCTGAAATTGTGTGGGAACATAGCGAACAACCAGATCTCCATGTGAAACTCTTTCACGAACAAAGTGATAATCAATACTGATGTGTTTGCTCCGAGCATGCTGAATAGGATTTGTGGATAAATAAGAGGCCGAAATATTATCACACAATAACCGAACAGGTTGGCAAATAGGAACGCCTAATTCAAACAATATAGACCGAATGTGGAGAGTATCCTGAACTGTGTACGCAATAGCCCTGTATTCTGCTTCTTTGGAAGAACGGGAGACAGTTGGTTGCTTCTTGGACTTCCATGAAATCAAATTAGGACCCAGAAAAATAGCAAAACCGGAAGTGGACCGACTACTATCGGGACAACCAACCCAGTCAGCATCGGAATATGCCTATAAAATAGGAGAAGAAGAACTCGGCTGTAGGAGCAAACCATGATCTGAAGTTCCCTGAAGATACCTGAAAATACGCTTAACAGCCAAAAAATGTGCAGTACGAGGTGCATGCATAAACTGAGAAACCAGGTGAACAGCAAATGTAATATCTGGTTTAGTCATGGTCAAATACTGTAAAGCACCTACCATACTTCTGTACTCCGTAGGTTCTGCAAGAAGATCGCCATCAGTGAGAGAGAGCTTAGTTCGAGTAGGTAGCGGAGTGCGAACAGGTGTAAGGGTGTGGAGATGAAACCTGGTTAATAGATCAGACACATATTTTTGTTGAGATAAGAATAAACCTGAGGAGGTGCGAACAGCCTGGACACCTAGGAAAAAGTGTAAATCCCCCAAATCCTTCATGGCAAAACAATGACCAAGACAAGAGATAAATGTGGAAATAAAGGAAGGGGAATTACCAGTGATAATAATGTCATCCACATACAAGAGGAGATAGAGAATATGAGACCCATGGCGATAAATGAATAAAGAATTATCTGATTTGCTACAAACAAAACCATGGGTTAACAAGAAACTACTAAATCGATAAAACCAAGCACGCGGAGCCTGCTTAAGACCATATATTGCCTTCCTGAGCCTACAAATATGATTAGGAAATTGTGGATGTACAAACCCAGGAGGCTGACGCATATAAACTTCTTCAGTTAAATTACCATGAAGAAAAGCATTTTTAACATCTAACTGACGAATAGACCATCGACACGAGACAGCAAGAGATAAAACAATACGAACAGTGGTGGGTTTGACAACAGGACTAAAGGTTTCAGAAAAATCCACACCAGCTTGCTAAGTAAATCCCTGTGCAACTAAGCGTGCTTTATAACGCTCAATAGACCCATCAGACTTAAATTTTGTTTTATAAATTCATTTAGACCCGACCACATTTTTACTAGCATTAAACGGAACTAAGTCCCAAGTATGATTGTCAATTAAAGCATTAAACTCTTCTGCCATAGCCGCCCTCCATTTAGCATCTTTATTGGCCATAGAAAAACAAGAAGGATCACATGCCGAAATAATTGTTTTGTGATTTTTGATAAAAATTCTATTTGTATTAAGGACAAAATTTCGGGGAAGGTGCTCCTCCAAGCTTCCAGTAATGGTGGCGTTTATCCTATTTCTCTCACACATTCTTCACCAGTGGCTCTCGTCTCTCATGTTGTGGTTATAACCTAAAAAAATTTTTATTGTGGTTATAACCTAAAGCTCTGATACCATGTGAGAATAATGGAATGGCTTACCCAATTGGGAGCCCTAGATGTCATATTTATAATGAATAGAGTTCTGAGTACATTAGAAAACATAAGAAATATGGAAACCTAATTAATGAATATTAATTACTCTATTAGGGGCTTGGTCTTGAGCGTGCGAATAAAATCGGAGGAGAGGAGTAAAATCATACTGAGGTTATGAGCTACAAATGGGTTGAAAAGAATTAGAGGGGTAAAATTGGAAGGAAGATCCTATTTAGGGAATAAAATTATACCACTCCTATTTGGGAATTTAAGTAATAATTTACTCCTATTTGGGGCTATTAGCATCTAAATTGTAAACATAATTGAGATTATTAATGGCGGACCAACAATAGTTGAGATTATTATTTTCAATTTTTCCTAACTTTTAAAAATGTACAAAAAACAACAACATGCTACACAATATATAGGGGACAGCTGCGGATGGGCAGTCCTACAAATAGTCCACACATTCGTGTGGTGTTTGAAACTGATCTGATTATATTTGGGATTTAAAATGTTGTACGATAATGTGAACTTTACCAATAATAATAATTTCATTTTTTTCAAATATATTGTGAAAATAAAACGTACTCACGTAAATATGATTAATAGTTACTACAATTTAGTGTCATGGTAATTTAAATTTAAAAATCGAATATAAGTTACTATGATTTCATTAGTACTCTAATCATTCTAGTCACTAGTCACATTTTTGTAAACAAATTTGAATTCAATCGTAAATACGTAATTATTTCTAATAATTCATAGGCGCCTAAATATTAGTTAAGCCGCACTCAATTTAAAATATAGAAAAAAATAATACCAAATACTTTCTATTCAACAATCTCACCCGTTTAAGTGTGTTGATTATTTTTTTTTACTCCTGCTTGTATTATTAGCCGCCATTTGGCTAATGATTTACTGAGTGAATTGGAGTTGATGATAAAAAACAATCTCACCCGTTTAAGTAATTACAAGTGTTGCACCCATTATCAAATGGGCTCTTATACTGCAGTATTAAAGCTATAATTAACAGTAATCATGCCAATAATTAATTCAATGTATAGAAAAAACATATATAGTACTCATTATGAGTGCACAAAATCCGATCCCAGGCCGGTTCCGGTCTCCAACCAGCAGTCCTGGAGAAAATATATGGGGCCCGGGACTTGTATTTCTAATTTAGGCCACATCCAGCTTTCAGCTTTTAAATTAAATCTCACCTCTATTAAAATGCTTGACAATGTTTGTGATGCAAAAAAATAAAAGACCAGGCTGGCCCATTTCGGTTCCAAAAAGTTAAGTCCGGGACCGGTACCCCATTCCTACAGTCGAGTCTCGGGTCCCAACTTGGCGAGTTGAAACCCTATTTTCAGTTCATGTCCTGTCCTAGAAGCGGGGTCTTATCCACGCCTAATTTACTTATATTTTGAAATATTGTTTTATGGACAATTCATATTGTTGTAAAGGGTTATAAACTTATAACTAAAGTCAGTTTATAGTTATGTTTATGATCGATTACCTATGTTTATAATAACATATAGGTTTAACTAAAGCAAAATTCTAAACCACCAAAATTCAGTACATGTCTTAAATTATAAACGAAACAGGTAAGTAGAAATTTTTTCAATATGAAAGCCATTCAATAGATAGAATCCTCAGGGCGTCAGCTCATCTGAGACATTAGAGGTGAAGGAATTGCTATTCCAAATGAAATACAAATCCGCTCAAGCATACGGAGTGCTATAAGGAAAAGTCAAAGCAATGAACAGTGCTACGGTTTATTGGGCAAAGAGCTGACAAAAATATTGAATCCTTAGTTTCTTTCCCACACCGTTCAAATTGGTTAGGCTCGCCTCATTCAGCTCTATATAAAGGGCTACGCGTTCCTCAAGGTAATCACGCAGCCATGTGACAAACACAAAGCGAACTATTCTTTCGCCTTTTACTAAAGAATACCGTGTGTTTGTTACAATTAGTGGCATACGCCAATTTTTGGAGGGTTTCTTCTAGGAGGAGCCCTAACAACATTAGTAAAATAATAATAATTTTGTCTGTTGAAGGACAGGGTTGGGGATCTATTGTGTCATTCCTCTCTGGTTTATTAGTTTTCAATTGTTATCTTTACACGTTCTTCATTATGATTGGTATACTCGACTAGATTAGTTGAGACTAGACTTGTACAAACGGCCTAGATCAAATTAATTCATATTTCCGTTCTTTTTTAGTTGCAACGGTCAACATTTCACACTTGCCAACGCACGTCTTTGACCGTAATTATATCGTAATCTCTATTAGTAAAAAATATTTAAAAATTAGATTTTGAAAATTTGTAATGAGATGAATTGAACAATATTTTTTTTAAAAAATTATTTTCATAAAATAATTATATAAAATGTAGTCAAAGTAGAACATGTGAATAGTATAAAATTCAACATGTTGCAATTAAAAAGAGACGGGGGATAGTATTAGATTTGACAATTTCAGGGCTACAAAAAACGTCCTAATTGAGTAGAATTGGGATCATTGCACAACACATGTATCTTATTTCATCTTAAATTAGTACTCATTAAGTCCTGATAGCAGATAACAATTTTATCTTTGCTTCAAAGCTATTACTTCTAACAATAAAGACATACAATTATAACAGTGTTAACGATGCAGGTATGAATGCATTGAATGGTTTGTAAATAAAACTATGCGTAATAATATTAACCATAATACAATATATATTTTAAAATAATTGGAGTATTAATAACATAGTAGTAAGAAAAGCGGAAGTGGCCTAGGGTCAGGCGAGTTTGGACAGTTTGGTGAGTTTCTTCGTCCGCATAGATTGGAGGGCAGTCATCGCGCAAAGCAGCTACGCAGCACACTTCGGCGTCCTCTTCTCGGCGGCAGGGTCACCGATTCATAAGCAATTTAATCCAAATTTCAACGAATCAGGACCTCTGCCAGCACCAATCGGCGGAGGTTCCAATTGCTTTCCGTTCGTTTGAGGGTGTCCGTGGATCTGTGTTGGTTATGGTTCTGAGGCCTGATTTTCAGATGCTTGGGTCGGTTATTTTGGCTTTGATAGTGATTGAGATGGGAGCTGCACCAACAGTGTTTGATCCGGGTGGAATGCTAGTGGTATGGGGCCCGAGTAAAGGCCTGATTTTACGTCAGGTCTTTCATCAGTTGGGATTGAAGGAAGATGATAAAGCGGTATTGGTCCGCCCCCCTCCTGAACCACCGCCAGGGAAGAAACAAGCGGCTAGGGTTTGGATGCTTCTTTTAGTTAATTTTGCTGTTTTCATTTGTTATCTTATCGTTCAGCATCTCCGGATTATTTTCTGCTTTGTGAACACTAACGGTAGTTTCCGTAGTTGTTTTTTCATTTTTAGGGCTATGGGTGTAAGCGATAAGGCTTGTTTGGCCGTAAAAAGTTTCGAAGCTCTCACATGGTTCGCGAATAGTCTCGCTCTTTGCGGGGTGGTCTATTCTATGTCTAGCCAGAGAGTGGGAGGGCCTTTTGGCTATGCGGAGCCTCAAGAAGAGGTTTGGCGATGTTTGGTTGAATGTACTTTGAGAATTTTGGTTGCTATAATATAATTAGTCTCCTTTAAAAAAAATAACAATAGTAGTAATAATATTAATCTATTTATAGTAGCAACACCAAAAGTATATTCATTCATGTAAAAGTATGCTAGTTTTTTTTTCTATTGTTGCATAATTATAGAGTTAAAAACTTATTCTACCCAAACATGTGCTGTCCCAACACACCTTTTAGGATGTTATTAATAATTACTCTAAAACTTTTTGGTCCAGTCTTGTCTAATCTGTTTTTGTTTGATTTAGGGGGTGTTCGGATCAGATTCTTAAAATGGCTTATGCCCCTTCAGCGAGCAGAAGCAGAAGTTGGAGTGCTTGGTCAAAAGTGTAGAAGTGATTCTGGTGCTCTAATTTACTCTTAGAATCAGTTTTTTTAGAAGTTAGGGAAGACCGGCTTCTAAAAACTGATTCTGATTCTGCTTTTGCTTTTAAAAAAAGTAGAAGCAGAATCAGTTACAAACACCCCCTTAATGTGAATTAGTCTGGTCTTGTATGGTGAATGTTTGGTCTCTGACTATTTTATAACTTTTGAATTCTGGTCCGGTTTGATATGTCTAAGTCTGGTCGGATAAGGCCTGACATGTTTAAATATGGTATGGTCCGGTTTGATCTGATCTTAGACTGAAAACAATTCAAGTAAAAACATATACCGAGTGAGGTTCCAGAGTTTCAACACATACCAGATAACAACCTAATCCCGAGCTTACACTCTTCCTAAATCCTAATCAGATAATTTTATGTGTGACTTTGCAAGTAAGAATGTAAGATTTGAGATCTACCAGCCTAAGCCAAGAAATCCCATTTTAGTCGCAACTTGAGTTGTAAGTAGGGGTGTGCACTATCCGGTTTAAACCGGAAAACCGGACCGAACCGGACCGGAAAAACCGGAACCGGATCGAACCGGAATGATATCCGGTCCGGTTTTCGGTTATAAAAATTTAGGAAACCAGTTTCCGGTCCGGTTCCGGTTTAAAACCGGATTATTCCGGTTTGAACCGGATTTAACCGGTTTTGCTATATTTTTAAAAATATATTTACTAATACTAATATAATACGTAGTAATAGTTATAAAATAAAAAATAATACTCCATACGAATAAAAATACTACGTATATAATAGCAATCAATTTCATAATGATTATAATATATATTATCCTTATATTATTTTCATCCATTCATTTTTATTCTCGTAATAATAAAACTAACTCATATATATTATTCTAGTATCAAGTTACTTCAATATTTGCTCACTAAAATTAATTAAAATGCGTTTAGAAAACAATAATAATAAAAGTAATATTTTTAATAATAAGTACTCCATCTTTATCAAATGATTAGTAGCTTTTTTAGTAAAGAAAAAAATTATTTATTTAGAAACCGGTTTTTCCGGTCCGGTTCCGGTTTTGAACCGGATAAACCGGTTCGGTTCCGGATAAAAACCGGAATACATCCGGTCCGGTTTTCGGTTTCTATATCATGGCAAATCCGGTTCCGGTTCCGGTCCGGTTGGGTCCGGTCCGGTCCGGTCCGGTTTTGAATCGGTGCACACCCCTAGTTGTAAGAAAGGTTAAGAGGAGCTCTAAATTGGCATTGATTTTGTCAACAATTAATTGATTATTGGCCAATAAGAGACAGAAACTTATACTATCGTGCAATATAGAGATAAGGATCAGATTGGCACTCGAAGTTGCATAAAAAGGGTCAAATAAGTCCTTATATAGGAGGCTCTGTCCGGCCGTCGCCATTTGGGACCGTTCCCGGTGGATTTTTTTGACGAAATTTTTTGAGCATCTTATTCATTAAGTCTAGTTTACTCATATCAAATTTCAGCTAAAAATTCAATTGGGAAGACATTCAAATGAATTTTTTGAAGATAACTACGCAGTTAAAAGCGCAGTTATTTTCAAGAATTAATTTGAATGCCTTCCCGATTGAAGTTTTAGCAGAAATTTGGTATGAGTAAACTAAACTTAATGAATGAAATGCTCAAAAACTTTCATCAAAAAATTCCGCCTCAAATGGCCTCAAATGGCGACGGCCGGATAGTAAGAACTTATTTGACTCTTTTTATGCAACTTCGAGTACCAATCTGACCATTACCTCGTGGAATATATATATACGGAGTATAAAATTAGCAAACTTGGTCATTTGAAATTTTTTATAAAGGTAAACACAAAACAAGCAGATCGAAAAATTAACGTTCTTGTGAATTTGGCTTCATCTGTGTCGTGTCCATACAAATGATACAATTGAGTAGTAGCTACATTTTTTTTTATCGTTGAGTAGTAGCTACATTAGAGCCCACATATTCATATCTTCAAGATGAATACCATCCCTAAACTAGAACAACGAAGAAAGTGATTCCTCAAATATTTAGGCATAACAATGCTCAAGATTTATCCTAATTCCAATATTTGTAAAATAAAAACTAAAGTACAAGTATGTATCTAACGCTAGTCCAACTCATGGCTAAGTGGATCTTCTATATAGTTCTAATTAAAGCAAAATCTTCTCATTGCTTTAAAGTCTAAATATATGTTTTTATTTGGATTGAAATTTTGTAAACGGATAAAAGTCGAGTATATATGTATTTCACAACTGTCGAAGTCTGATTTATTTGACTGTTTAAGTCTAGTTTGGTTTGAGACCGAAATTAGTCCAAATAAAAAAATATCCTATGGCCAGAGAGCGTCACAATATTTCCTGATTGTGTAAGAAAAAACACATCGATAATGAGATTCTCTTTGATAATGATGAAATTAACTGAATGACTAAGTATACTAAATTTATTGAAATTATGACTAAAATGAATGAATGAATTCAATTGAGTTATGAAAAAAATGTTAGTATAACAAAAGGATCTTTTATATATTCAAAAAACAAAAGGAAATTTTACATGAAAAAAATTAAAATCATCCTCTTAAACCAATTCAGTTTGAAAAGTAGCTCTATTTTAAGAAAATGTTTGATCATGCAAGAAAGTATCATAGTATCATAGGTTTAAGTACAGTCTTACAGAAAATGCACCATAGATTTTTAATAAAATGTTTGATCAAATGAGTACAATGTATATTATTGGCTTATTGTTACAACGGAAATTCCAAAATTGGAATACAATTTTTTTCTTATAATATGAGTATTATCACCTAAAAAGTATAGTGTTATATTTTAACATCATGGAAATCACCAAAAGCCCATTTATTGGACTGGTTTAGCGGATTCTTGTCATAAATTAAACAAAAGTGCTACTTCTTCACGCTGTTTACCCATCACATTTATTTTATCTGTTCACAGACAATTGATTTTCATTTTAGTACAAAAAACTATTAGTGATCCCGAAAAAGTGAATTGTTTCTGCACAGACGACATTTCGGAATTACAAACAAATCCCTTTTACTAAAGTGAAATATTAATTGTCTGTGCACAAAAAAATACAATTGGCTTGTGTTCTGACGCGTAAGGCGACTTGTCAGTGTGTCCAGGTAGCAATTTTGTAAATTAAATTGGCTTAGCGTTACATTTTCCTCAAAAGACAACAATCCTTCTGTTATATACTTATATATATCTGGAACACATTTCATTGCCACGTTGGTTTCTCCATGTCGATAAGCTATCTTCTTCTTCCTCAAAACTTTTTCATCTTCAATGGTGATTATACTGATTGTTGATAAATTGAAGTTGCGAGCAGGGTTCTTAGTCCGTTTTCTAATATTTGTGCATTTGTTGTTCTAAGACTTTTGAAAGACAGAATACAAAATAGAAATAATAGTACCTCTTTCTATTATTATTATTATTATTATTATTATTATTATTATTATTATTATTATTATTATTATTATTATTATTATTATTATAATATAGTTTACAATTGAAGAAACACTAATAAGCTTAGAAAAGTGTACAAAAGACGAACATGGTACACAATATATAGGGGATAGCTGCGGATGGACAATGCTACAAATAGACAACATTATGTTTGAAAATGCTTGTATATTTGGGTTTTAAAATTAAAATCTTGTTCAATCGATAATGTCAACTTTATCGGTAATAAGAATTATAATGTTTTTACTTGGACTGTAATCTATTCAAGATCGTATCAGACTAGACTAGATCAGACTTGGATAGTTATACAAATATAAAGAATGACCAGATCAGATCAGACCAAATCAAACCAGACCACACCAGCAAATTACTGTCCAAGTAATTAAAAACATCCTTAAGACCATTTGTAGTGGTGAAGAGTCCAAATTGTTAAATTTGGACTCCGTCCATATCAGACTCCGTCAATACTGTTTTTCCCTGCATCCGTGTGCCGTCTATAAAATACACTCTGCATATTTTTTTACATATCAATTTAGTAAAACATTAAGTAAATTATTATAAGTAATGTTTTACTTTTATTTTTTTCCCTGAATAATTATAAAATAAAAAGTACACATTTCGATGTAAAAAAAATTAATTTTTTTTTACGTTTTTCGATTAACGAACTGAGTTCAAGCACATTGGAGCATTGGATTCTCTTCTCAAGTTGTGTATCCTTTCGTAGCATAGGATGCTATTCTTCACTATGGGTGTCCTTTCCTAGCATTGGATGCTATTTTCCACTTGGTGTGTTCAATTATAATTAATTGGATAGATCTATCCTCCACTTGGTCTGTACACTTTCTTATACTACATTGGATTCTCTTACCACCTTGTTACTACATAGAATAAATGTTATTATAAATACATGCTCTCACTTTAGATTGGAATCACACAACTCACCTTAACTTCTCCCATAGAAAATAATGAGTTCTTTTCCCTCATTTTACCAATCCATTCATGAAGATGAAGAAGAAGACGCTCACTCCGACCGCATGCGAATGGCTATGATGGCTTCTTTAGTTGCAACGAGCTCCAACACTCGTGAGTACATAGATCGTGGTCGAGAAGCTGGACAACGTTTGTTGATGGATGATTACTGGAATCCAAACCCCACCTACAACGCACGTATCTTCCGGCGTCGATTTCGCATGCAACGACATTTGTTCAATCGAATCATGAGAGATGTCATGGCCTTTGATCCTTATTTCCTAAGTACAGCTGATGCTGCAAATAAGGTATCTCTTTCTCCTCAACAAAAACTTACTAGTGCGATATTTATGCTCGCCAATGGTTGCTCGGCTGATTCCTTAGACCAGTTATGTCGTTTGGGTGAGACGACCACACTTTTATGCCTGAAGAAATTTTGTAGGGCAATTGTTAGTGTGTATGGTTCTTGGTACTTACGAACCCCTAACCCCGGGGATCTACATCGTCTTCTTGAAAAGGCCTCAAAGAGAGGCTTTCCTGGGATGATTGGGTCAATTGATTGCATGCACTGGGAGTGGAAAAATTGTCCTACATCTTGGGGCGGTCAGTACACGGGGTATAAAATAAAACAATTGTACTCGAAGCAGTTGCTTCTTATGATACTCATATTTGGCATGCATTTTTTGGCATTGCCGGTTCCAATAACGACCTGAACACCTTAGCTAGCTCTCCCGTGTTTGATTCTGTTGTAAATGGATCTGCCCCTCAGGTGGGATTCCGGGTAGATGGTAAGCATTATAATCAATGTTATTATTTAGCTGACGGGATTTACCCTTCTTGGGGAACTTTTGTTAAGACAATAAGTCATCCCGACACTCCTAAGAAAAGGCTTTTTGCTTCAATGCAAGAGGCTTTTCGTAAGGATGTTGAAAGAGCATTTGGAATTTTACAAGCTAGGTGGGCTATTGTGCGAGGTCCTGCACGCTTGCACGACATACAAACATTGGGTGATATAATGCTGGCATGCATTATAATGCACAACATGATAGTGGAAGATGAATATGAAGAGAGGGATGAAGAACCAACCCATCAGGACTACACTCAAGACTATGACTATATTGGTGCCACCGTTGAATTGGATCTTAACCACGACGGTCCCACCTTGAGTCAGTATATGATGCGCCACAATCGAATTCGAGACTCGTCAGTACACACATTGCTTAAAAATGATCTCATAAACCATTTGTGGAAGCTAAGCACCATGGAAATGGAATGTAGTTTATTTGTGTCTTTAATATTTCTGTATTTCCTTAATATTTATGCGTTTCCTTAAATATTTCCTTAATTGTTTATGTATTTTATCCATTTCATTTACTAGTGTTGACTTCGTACTTGTAATGTTTATGTGTTTCTTTAAATATTTATGTATTTCGTTAATATTTACGTGCCTTAATAAAAGATTTGTGTTTGTGTGAATTACTTCTATCCTTTTTGTATTTTACTTAATAATGTGTCAATCTTATATTTAGTAATATTTCGAAATATTTAATAAGTATCTCGACTATTAACTAAAAAATGGATAAATGAAATAACAACACACCGAATTTAAATAAAAATACACTTGAACATTAAACTAACAACACATAATTCAAATAAGAACACATGAAATTTAAATTAAAACAACAACATACGAAATTTAAAAATCAAACATACATGAAATAAAACTAACAACACAATACCAAATCAAAACAACAACACACAAATAACTAGAAATCAAAGTGGGGAAGGTAGACTTCTTCTTCAACGGAAGCGCTGGGAACATCACTTGATGTATTTTGAGAATATCCCATGATTTGTTCTTGTTTTTCCCGAATCCACTTTTGCTTCCTCGGTGAAAACTTTGAAAGGTCCGCAGAGATTATGTTATACTGGTTCTTCAATATCTCCGACTCCACGGCTTTGTTTTGAATCTCGTCGCGCACAACTCTTCTTGCCGATTGTTCCCTCCTTTGTCTTTCCACTTCTTTTCGCCTTTTGCTTGTCACGACCTTCAGGGCGTTGTAGTGGCTCTCCATCCGAGGGAGAGCTAACATCACCACCTACGACCATGGGCGATGTTGGAGAGGAATTTAAATTTATCGGAGCTTCGTATTGTTGGTACCACTTTGGAAAGGAGTGGAGAATACGCCAAGCATGCTCAAATTTGAATGGTTTTCCATGGTTATCATTCATGAAAATGACCTTGGCTTGATAGTCCTACATTACGAATCAAAATAACATTATAAATATGGAGTTATATATATTAAAAAATTAAAATATAATTTATGAATTAATATTAAATAATGGAGTAATTTATAATTTACCAAATTGGCTAGGTTCGCCCCACTCGTCGGGGTTGCATTTGCCTTCGGCACACAACCTTTCCACAACGAGCATTGGTGATTGATGATCTTGAAACGAGACTCAATTGAATCCCGACTCCGATGAACACTACTTTTTTCAGAAAATAGCACATGAACTCGGTTCCAAAAACTCTCCCCCGGTTGATTTATTCCGATGACCCCATCTTCCGAGATGATAACCCAAGCATTGCATAGAGCAACATCCTCACTAACAGTCCAATTAGCACCCCCCTTCTTGAGGAAGACATTACAAAATATGGATATAAAAAAAAATTTGAAGAAGAATGAGATAGATGGGAGATGTGTGATCAAAATAGGAAGAATGGGGGTGTTTATATAGAATTTTCGGATCAAATATTAATTAAAAATAATGTAAAAATAAAATAAATAATTTGAAGCGTTGGATTTTATTTTTAGCCGTTGGATCATTTTTTTGACGTTGGAACAGTGTCAAAATGATCTCAGCCGTCGGATCTTTCAAAAAAGTTTTTTTTTTTTAAAAAAATCTGGCCGTTGGAAATAATCACTTAGTTCGCGGTGACGACATGACGACATCACCATGATGTCAGCCGTGTTTGATTGGCAGCAGAACATGCAGCGTACGAAGCTGCAGTCCGCGTGCGGGTCCCCATTTTCTTTTTCTTTTTCATTTATTTTTTCTCTGTCAACTCTTCCCTCTATTTTTACACTCCTCCACTCCCCTTCCTACTTTTACTCCCCCTTTTAATCCTTCACTACACACAAATAAGAGTCTAAAATTTGCAATTTTAATCTTTTGACTCCTAATATGCAACCACTACAAATGGTCTAATAGGTGCATGTCTTAAATTATACGGAGTAAACGATATCGGTAAGTAGAAGATATATCAAGATGTAAGATAATAAATTGATAGAAATCCTCGGGGCGTTAACTCACCTGAGACATTTCAACGATGATGAAAGGTTCGACTTAGAGGTGGAGTATATAAATCCGGAAGCACATAGAACAGCCAAAAAGTCAGCAATGAAGGGTGCTACGGTTTATTGGGCGTAGAGCTGACAAAAAAGTTGAGTCATTTGTTTTCCCACACCGTTCAAATCAGTTAGGCTCGCTTCATTCCACCCTATATAATGAGCAACGCATTCCCTAAGCCCTTCACGCAGCCATGTGATGAACACAAAGCGAACTATTCTTTCGCCTTTTACTAAAGAATACCGTGTGTTCGTTACAATTAGTGGCATACGCCAATTTTTGGAGGGCTTCTTCTAGGGGGAGCCCAAACAATTTTAGTCGAATTTTGGACTTCTTCATAATTAAAATTCCGTTAATTTACGTATTTGACACATACGCTGTAGAATTTCTAAGTTCAGTGATTAATTTGGAGCAATTGTATCACTTTTTCAAGTGCCAAACTTAGGTAGTAAATTGTAGAAAAATGCGTGTACCCCAAATTGTAACAAGACTAGTTGAATAACTCCCCAACCCTAAATTGTAACAAGACTAGTTGAATAACTCCCAACCCTAAATTGTAACAAGTCTAGTTGAATAACTTCCTATCCGGCCAAGAAACATTTAGGAAAAGGGAAAATTCGTTTTGAAATTTAAATATAATTTTGCCATTTGTCAAAATAGCTAGTGACATTTGAAAGAGGAGTTCGTTTTACTCGGATTCTTTGACCGAATTACGAACACTGCATTATCCATCGGTGATTTTTATCTGAATTTTACCCGATAAGAATCGGAAACGATTTTCCACGCGCCTAACCATAATTATAGTATTTTAAATCGTCATAAAAAGTGTAAATCATTTCAACTTAATATCCATAAATTATGCTCGTATATGTGTAGAAACAAATTTATGAATTTTCTTATCACTTCGACATTAAAATATGAAGTATTATCCTAACAGTAAAGTCTTCCAAATATGAATGACAAATTAAAAATTAATTTCCGAAAATTCAATAAGTATCCCAGTAGTTACTATTTTAGAAACCTCATAATTCAAATTTAATTAAAACTTAACGGAAATTTGAGCAACCAACACAAACCAATCTAATTGTCCAATATAGCTCGAAAATCCTTAGTAATTACATAAAGAAGATTACAGCAATGCTAGCAAGCGCTTGACAATACTTAGGATTTAAACTTACATGCGAGTACTATGATGAAAATAACCCTCGCATACTAATAAACTTCAGAAGTAAGAAAATTATTTGTCAGATATAAAAGAGATTTAATGAAAAAGGAGATAGGAAGAATGGAGAAAGAATCAGAAATTTCAAAATATAAAATAGTGAAATTTTGGAGCGTTGACTCCTAAGAGGGCATGAGGAGTGTCGTATCCTAATGAACTACTACATGTATATACTTTATACACTAAATAATACTCCGTAAATATATAATCTATTTTGCAATATATAAATTATTTGTGTGGGTCGGGTAATGTTGTGGACAATCATATCCGAAATAACCGGGGCTAGTAAGTGGTAACAAACTAATTGGGTGGGTAGGTATAAAAGTATAAAACCACAAGCTCCCCATTCGAGCAACTCCAATGCAAGAGTGTGTTCTCTTACACACCCTTACGCATGAGTCTCATTTTTTATCTCACAATTTTTATGTGTAGGATCTACGTATTTCCTATTTTATTTTTATTTTCATTTTCTTATATCACTTTTAACCCACTTTTTATCAACTTTTCCTCCTCGAATCCCGTGTAAGGTCTATATATGAACCTTGTCATAGACCTTGGTACATTTTTTTACCTCTATTATCTCTCTCCTCTTTCATTTTTCACTACACACCACTTCATCCAAATATTTATTCTATCTCTATCTCTCGTATGCCACATCGGTAATGCATCCTCCCATGCATTGGAGATGCTCTTGTCCATTTAGATAAATGAGTTATTCCCCACCCCGTAATCTGTTACCGAGTCATATCACCACATGTGCACAAGCCTGCTCTATCGTAACCACTTCGCGCCGCCTCAACCATTAGGCGGCCGCCGGCTGCTCTGGAACCCATCGTCTTCGTTGGAGCATAGGAGAGGCGCAGTACTCTACCTAGGAGCACATCGAGTCTGAATCTCCGTCATCACCGCTGCAATTCTCAAGCATCAACGGAGAGTTAATAGAAAAGGGCAGAAATGAGTAGTTAGGGCTTAAGTGCAAATAAACTTACATAAGAAACGTACTTTCAGTCATCTATCCTATTTTGGCCAGTTACGGGGTCCATCTGAAAATGAGGACTTTTTGTCACTTGCAAGTCCATTAATATTTGGTGACAACTCCGGTACTCTTCTAAAAAATAGGGTGCCGTACCTATCATTCTTTTGATTGGACCACACCACTTTATCATTTTTAATTTAGATTTAAATTATTCAACTGCTAGATTCTCATTGGTCCATGTGGACAAATGTATGGTACCTTGTGGGTACCATAGAATCTACCTTAATATTTTAGTCATTCTTTTATATTGTCTTGTCTCATTGAATATGGTTAATAGTCTCTTAATACTATCCTCCGTTTTTTTAATCGCTACATGTTGAATTTTACACTATTCACATGTTCTACTTTGACTACATTTAACAATATTATTTTACCAAAATTATTTTTTCAAAAAAATATTGTTCAATTCATCTCATTACAAATTTTTGAAATCTGATTTTTAATTATTTTTTACTAATAGTGATTAAGATATAATTAAGATCAAAGACGTGCGTTCGCAAGTGTGAAATGTTGACCGTTACAACTAAAAAAGAACGGAGGAAGTATTATGTTAGGTGAAAAATAAGATAAGTAAAGATTGTGTGGTTTTGATTTGTGGAGAGAAAGAGAAAGTAAACAGAATTACAAATTATTTACCTAAGAGAGTATGTCAAATTTTTTTGGCCGAACAAAAAAATGGAAAGTAGATAAAGTCCAAATAGACATAGTGGAGTAATTAACAATATCAATTAGGCAAGTAACTGAGTAAGTATAGATGAAGTTTTGAACTCTTCCTAGGTAATGTTTGGCACACAAAAGACTCTAGCTTCTAGCTTCTCTATTCTTTAAAAAGACCTTAAAAGACTCTAGTTGTATGTTTGGCATGACATTTTTTAAGAGCTTTTCAAAAATTAAAAGATCTTTTTTGAGATGCTACCAGGTGTAGCATCTGAGAAAAGCTCGTGACTTTTAGTTTAAATTAGTCCTAACAGCTTGTATACCAAACTGAACTAAATCAAACCGTCAGCTTTTTACCAAACAGCTATCATCTTTTCTTTTTAAGATCTTTTCAGTCACTAAAAGCTAACAGTTACTAAAAACCTCGTAAAAGTATCTTTTTAGCTAGTTGTGCCAAACATACCCCTAATGACCTTCAAACCATATCTCAGTTTAACTAATGCAAGTTATCATACCGACATACCGTCAAAATTCCACTACAAAAAAACACGGGCGTAGTCACGGATTTAGTCACGGATTGCAGTGTAAAAATTCCGTGACTAAAACTTTTAGTCACGGTCATCAGCCGTGACTAAATCCGTGTCTTAATTGGCGTGACTAAATGAAGTCACCGCCACATAACCGTGACTAAATTTAGTCACGGAATAGTCACGGTCCTTGACCGTGACTAAAATCATGCCGGAAACCCCACTCCGACGTGTTAGTCACGGCCTGTGACCGTTACTATTAATTTTTTTTTTTTTAATATTAGTCACTGCTTTGGGCCGTGACTAATGTTTAAATTTTTCAAAATTTTCAAAAGACCGCCCGCGGGTGTAATTTAAATTTTTGAAATTAGTCACGGTTGTCGACCGTGACTAAGTTTTTTTTAAAAAAAAAATAATGTTTTTAATTAAAAAAAAATAATAATTTCGAATTAACTGTAGTCACGGTTAAGGCCGTGACTACTATTTTTGTTTTTTAAAAAAAAAAGGGATAAGGGTCAGATAGGGCCTCGAACTCGAAAAAAAATGTCAAATAAGGTCATATTTCGGATGCTCTGTCTGGCCGACGCCATTTGGGGCGGTTCCCGCTGGAATTTTTTGATGAAATTTTTTGAGCATCTTCCTCATTAAGTCTAGTTTACCCATACCAAATTTCAGCTAAAAATTCAACCGGGAAGGTAGTCAAATAATTTTCCGAAATGTACGGCGTTGTTTAACTTCACAGTTATCTTCAAAAACTCATTTGACTACCTTCCCGGTTGAGTTTTTAGCTGAAATTTGGTATGGGTAAACTAGACTTAATGAGGAAGATGCTCAAAAAATTTTATCAAAAAATTCCATCGGGAACCGCCCCAAATGGCGTCGGCCAGACAGAGCATCCGAAATATGACCTTATTTGACATTTTTTTTCGAGTTCGAGGCCCTATCTGACCCTTATCCCAAAAAAAAAATCCATTTTTTTTTTAAAGTTGTTTTTGAAAATTACTTTTTTATACGTATTTTTACAAATTAAATTTAAAAATGTTTTTTGAAAATTGAGTTATTGAAAATATTATTCTAATTTTTTAAATTTAAAATTAGATTTGAAAGAGTAAAGACATACAACAAACTTAATAAATATTGTGACAAACTTTTAAATGTTTTGACATACAACAAAGTATAAATGTATGATGATTACATGTCCCTTCGTGGGACTCCATTATGAAAAAAATTAGGATTTTCTTCTTCTTCTTCTTCATCATCATCAACAAGAAACTCATCTGGGTTCACGGGGGGGTCTTCGGGGTCAGGTCGGGTTCCTCCTCGGGGTGCTCCTCGGGGTCCTCCCCGGGGTCCATGGCTCGGTGGACCACTACCTCCTCCGGATGACCTCGCAAAATCAAAGGACATAGATCCGAAATTCGGCGAAATCATAGGCATGCCACCGTATCCGGAGTTGGGGAAAAATCCCATACCGCCCATGTGCGGAACTTGAGGAGTTTGCTCAGGGTGGAATACGTACGGGGGAGGAAAAGGCTGTCGCGGAGGCTGGAATCCGGCACGCATGTACCGTTCCATCTCCTCCAACCGGGCTTTTGTGGCCTCGTCTGCTTTCCGCTGCTCCTCCCATCGCCGTTTGTGCTCCTCCAGTTCACGCTGCATTGTAGCAATACGGGGATCTTCTCCCCGCCTTGACCGAG